GTTCCTTTTATTTGTCATTCCTCCGTCCTATGCTCCTGGCCTTGCAACCTATAATAAATAGATTAATCATTGAGGAGAAGACATGCGAGTTTGGTTGAAGAGCAAGAGAGAGCCACCACAAAGAGAGATGATAGAGTGATAGCACTGAGAGGGTGGAGCTGGAGGTGGGTTATGACCTGTGATAGTGGGAGCTGATTTTCTTTTGGGAGGAAAATTCTATGTTAAGGTATGATTTGTTGTTGGACTTGGTTCTTCTGTTTTCTACATTTGCTTCATGGGTTTCAACCGTGATGAGTAGATTCTCAACTCATCAACTTAAGGAACCAATTAGGACCGTAAAAGTACTTGGAGATTGATGGAAAACATTTCTTCTTAGGCTCAGTTTGGAAAGAATACAAATACTAATATGTACAATACAAATACATATAAAGTAATACAAAATATAAAATTTTGCACTCTACATATTTGCATTTATACTCTTTCCAAACTCAACCTAAGGCATGGGTGGCTGAATCTGCATAAAGAACATACTATTCCAGTCCACCCCAACGTCAATTTGTCTACTAAGTATTAACGTCAATTTGTCTACCAAGTATTGGTAGGAAAGCATAATAGAACTAGAAGCAGGAGTAACGTAATAAATTATATTGTAATATCTACAATAATTATTTTTGATGATTTTAATAACATATTATACATGGATAGATCAGAACGTATACGAGAACAAATACTGTGAATTCTTTTTTTTTGGTAAAATACAAAAACCTTTCCTGAAGTTTCTGATAATCATAAACCTCGCTTTTAGTTTTATTTCAGCAAAATCCTCTCCTGGATTTTTAAATAATTTGACAAAAACCCCCTTTTCGTCAATGACCCAGACATAAAACAGTAGACCGATGCATCATTTTTTTAAAATACCCATTTTTCCCTTTAATTAATTTGTATATATTTTTATTGAAATACCCTATCTACCTATTATCCTCTTTTCCTATCCCTCAACTCGTATTTTTACTGAAATACCTTGTTGACCTGTTATCCTCTTCTCCTATCCCTGAACTCCACCGTCTGAAGAGGAGGAATTCAATTCTTTCAATCTATCGTTCAAAACAGATGGAAACATGTTGAATGATATACCGTGGTTTTACAGAGAAATTTTCTTATAAAAAATCTTCAAACCAGAGAACCTACGCTGAAAATTGAATGCTTTAATGGAGGTGCCAATATCTCTATCGGGCCAAACGTATCGCTTGTTTCACAGCCATCTCTGGTGGTCATAATTTCTTTTGCGGGCTGAAGTTCGGAGGGAACAGTCTGCTCTGTTGGAATTGGGATTTCGTACCCAAAAGGGTCTACTACAACGATGCACTCAAGTTGAAGGATGTCGGTGGGCGATGACCACGTCTGCGCGTTGGTGGACGGAACCGGAGTTGTCAAGTGTTGGAGAGGGGAGAGAAACAATTTTTTGGCAGCAGGGACAGGTGAAGGTTTTCTCTCCATGACGTCAGGGCGAGGGTTTTCTTGTGGTATTTTGAACACAAGTTGTACAGTTGAGTGTTGGGGTACCAGACAAATTGGGCAGGAGATACAGGCCCAGTTTGGAAATGTCTCTACCATTAATGTGTACAACCTTGATGGATTCAAATTAGTGTATATTTGATTGCATTGCAACCATAATGGATATATCCATAATCATGAAGATAGAAAGCATCACTCTTGGTTTTTAAACTCCGATAGATATCTAAATCTGATGGACATCTCCATCCCCTGTATAGGCACCCCTGTAAAGGCATCAGAATGTTAGTATTTTTCCTTGGAAAGCATCAGATAAGAAAACCACTATCAAGAACAGTTGCCAAAAACATGAGCTTCTAAACGGAAATATGAGAACACTTGTCAGTCAAGAATAACCTCCAGTGAAGAACAGTTGCCGGAAAAATGGATAAAATATTCCAAGAATGGAATATATTGATTGAGCAATAGATAGGGTTTCATGATGCTTTAGGGGTAATTTCATAAACGTTGACGTGAAACTATAGGAGGTTTTTGTTATTTAAGGGAGGCTTTTTCGAGTTATTTAAAAATTTAAGGGAGGTTTTTGTTAAAGTGAAACTATAGGAAAGGCTTTTATGATTATCAAAAACTTCAGGCGAGGTTTTATATTTTACCTTTTTTTTTGATAAATAGTGAATTCATTTACATTGGTGTAAATGCATGGGAGTGTAAATAAGTTTAGTGTAAATTCTTTTTCATTTTTGTTTCACAATTGATTTTGTGCTATTTGTTTGTAAGAAGTAACATGATGTATTCCACTAGTCCTCATTTTATTTGAAAGAGAATAGAATATTAAAGCATATATATTAGGGATGCAAACGGATTGGATCATATTCGAATCAGGATACGATACTGTTCATGTCAGTTCCAATCCAATCTGAAGATTCGAACAGGGATGATCCGAATCCGATCTGATTTCAGATTGAATCCTATTATCCTATCTGAAGATCTGAACAGGAATGGTCCGAATTCGACCAAATAGAGGATTGGATCTCAGATCGGCACCCCTATTATATATATACCGACTTCTGCCCCCACAAATTTAACAAGGATTCTTGGCATATTTGGACGGTTTCTTAGTAGATTTAGAATCCTTGGTATCAAGTGAGAAATCTGACTTAGGTTTGGTACCTCGTGCTGCAACATTTGTTGTGGGACTAACAAAGTGAATATTATGAAGTTCGGTCTCATCCGAGAGAAGCTTAATTCCCTGCAAACTAGCAAACTGAATTTCATCCGTACGTGGTAATCGAAGTTACAACTCCATCATATTTACTTATTTAGATCCAAGGCCATTGAGAGCATAGTGAATTATTTAGAGGCTATCTAATGGCTGCAAATTTGTTAGAAAGTTCCTTGAGCCTTTTGAAGATAAACTGTCATATAGAGATCATTCTTTCGAAGACAACCTAGTTTATTTCGTAGGTTAACCGCATTTGTTGTTCCCTTCGGAGAGTAGAAAAACTCTAAGAGGTGTTTGGGACCGATGTTGATTCCTTGATGAGATTTTTCAAAAATCACTGATTTCTCAAAAAATTAGAAAATTTGTTTGTTTGGTACCATTGCTGTCATGTCAGTCGATTTTTCAGAACTTGATTATGAGTTTGTTTGGTAGTGATTATCAACGGTGATTTTTTGTGTTTATGAGAACTATCTTCCCCATCCATATCAGATGCCACATCATTCAAAAGTAATCAGAATCAGCCTAAAAATTTGCTGAATTTTCTTTTCAGCCCGATTTTCATAATTGTTTTTCGACAATTTTTTGATTTCTGTTGTGGCTCTGATGCGGTGCCAACTTCTGGTGGTCCCAAACACCATCCTAGTGTGAATCACAAGTCTTTGCAGGTCTTGCAACCGACCACCTATATAGTCTGTATCAGGTAGGACAAAGTTGTAAGCATGTTCAATGAGCGTTTAGAAAATTTTTTGACACCTGTCTCTTAATATACCCCTAGCCTATTCTTAAAAAAGATTAAAAGCCACTTTTGACAATTGTCAGAATATTTATCAAGTGCTTAATGAAGTCCTTACTATATTGTGCCTACTAAATCCGGTCCCCCCACCTATACAAGTGATGACCCAGTGAGAGACAGAATAGGGGCCCGACTGAACAAAGATTGATCCTGCTTGATCCATTGAGTATACACCGAAGCTTATGTTGAGTTGGACAAAGAAGGTGAAGATCTGAGAGGATATGGGTGCGAACCATCCAACTAACCAAGAAAAGTGTGGCTCAAGAATCTTCCAAACATAATGTCTAGCACTGGGTCTTCGTCCTAAATATCTCTACACCCCAAATGGATAGCCCTGAGAAGCCGGCTGTTTGCATCTCTATTACACATACTAGAAGTAATCTTTTAAAAACCGATCTGGAAACGGAACCATCATTGTATCTGATTTTTGGGTGAATGGGTTCAACCATCCAGCTTAAATGGGTCGACCATGACGCCAATTGTTTTGAAAATATAATACAAGTTACACCCCCTTGTATATGTTGTAATTTATGGCATTTAAGTCCCACAGGTCCCACTGAGAGGTTAAGGTTTCAAAGTTGTTAATATTAATCATGGCTAGGCTAGGCTGGTGAATTTGTGTATCGGTTTTTACCTTTTTGTTCCTTTCTCTACCTTTTCCTTCAAACCAAACATAGCTTTAGGTATATTAGGCACTAGGACTAGGGTCGAGTAGAGAGAACCATTGACAGAATGAGAGAGACTAGGTCGAACGGTTCAACAGTTAAACTGTCCAGATCAGTGGTTTTTTTTTTTTTTTATTACTTTTTCAACATTTTTTTAATAAAAGCTGGTCAGAGTATAACCGGAGTACCGGACATAAAACCTTGACCGGTTTCCAGTTTGAACCATCCAAGTCAACGGAATTTTTAAAACCATGTAGGGAAATACAACCACCCAGCATACCAAAGGCTGCACCACAGTTACACTTCAACAAGGCCAGGGGGATACAAGACTGGAGCGGGTGATCTGCCAGCTTAGTACTTGGATTGAGGACTGAACCATTTTTGCAGTTGAGTTCATACCAACTACCGGGGAAAAACTCATGAAACTGTACACCTACTTATTGAATTTGAAATTAATAGAGTAGATAGAAAGGAGATGTTCCCAATATACGGCGGGGATGGGACGTTGTGGGGCGGAGATGTGAACTCAATAGGAAGAAGCTGTGCAAATATAGTTTACAAACACTTCAGCTATTTCATTGGTCTCAGATGGGAATCCTGCCAACTCAGTCAATTTTTCTACGATCTGGCTACTGAATCCTTCAAACCATCTAAACTGAATCCTTCTCAGTTGCTAAGGAAATCTAGAAATGAGGTTAATTTGAGATTCCACTTTAGAGAACATTGTGGTTACAAATGATGTTGAAAAGTATAAAACTACAATCACAATTTTCATTTCAGATGGCTTATGAACCCCACAAGAGCCAATTCATGTAGGCCAACAACCAAAATCAGCATCTCAAATAGATACAGGAATTCACTAATTCAGCAAATTAATTTAAGGAGATGATCATTGAAAAGAAATACAACAATGATTGATGTGAAGAACAAGATAATTTATTACTATTAAATAAATAGAAAAACATGGATGTCAAAAACGAATGGCCGACTCTAGTAAATAAGACAAGCATGAAAAAGACACCATCAACACCAGAGTTCTCTATAAATATACAACTAGTCATTTGGTGGAGAGTCTTGAGATCAACATCATATAGAAAAGAAGGGACTACTTCTGGCTGAACAATAAATCCTGCCTTATGGCAAGCATCTTCAAGAAGCTTCATCCATCTGGACAGAAAGCAATCACAGCTCCATCTCTTAGTAAATTTTGATGCAGCTCCCACCTTTCTAGCCACCTCTATGTCCATAGAACCAAGGGCTTCATCCCCAAACATCCGCCTGAGAAACACCCAAAATGTGCATCGAGCTAAAGGGAATGACAAATAAAATATAAAAAAAAAACTAAACAAGATAAAATCTGGAACATGAGAAATAATAAGATCCATCTTAATTCTTAAGTTCAATTTTACCAACTTAAATATTACCTACAGATTGAACGAACCATGAAAAGTGCATATGATATTAGAAGTTCAGGGGATCATATTGTGAGAGAATCCATACTGTGGAAGTGGTGGAATCTTGATTCTCAGAAGAATGGTATAAACACCTTGTTTCTTATTACACTGCAAACTTAATGCTGTAATAGTTTTCGGGAAAGTTACAAAAAGAAGAGGTGTATGATTTAAATTCTCTTTACCAACTATGGGAAAAAAAAACTCTGTGCCAAATTGGTACAGTAAACTATTTCCATTGATCTTTCTTGTTTCTAAAGCTACTCCCAGATCTAATACAAACCGTGTTTTGTATTACTTATTATTTTATCAACTAAGGACAAAAAGATGAATATCTCTATATTCTTTCCCCTGCACCATACACCATACGATTGACACAACTTTCTGGAATCATGTTGTTGGAAATATGAAAACTGACTTGCACTTCAGCAGTTTGGTTGTGTGTAAAAGTGGAAATACAAAGGAAAACAGAGAAAATATACTTCAGTTTTAATGAATTTCTCCCCAATAAAGATAGAAATCAATAAAAAGAATGATTAGACGTGTAAAAGCCATTTTAAAATAGTGGGCAGAAATTGAATAAAATAGGAATGGAGTAAAATAGTGGGCAGAATTTCTCCTCAATAAATATACTTCACATTACCTTACTGTACATGAAATTTTAGAAGTGCCCCATATAGTAATTTTCCCTTATTAGGCTGTGTTTGGTTGCAGTGCAAATTTATTTGCACTGATGCAAAACTATGGCAGTGCAAATGTTTTGGGTGTAAATTTTGATTTATTTATTTTTTGAATTTTACCTTACTTTGTTTGATTGCAGTAAAAATGAAGTAAAATAAGACTTGAAGCATAATAAAGTAAAATCCAAAACAAAATTAAACCAAATTTTGCATTTTTTTTTCATTTGCACTCCCATACATTTGTACTACTGCAAATAAAATTGCATTGCAACCAAACACGGCCTTAGTTTTTTTTCTTCTCATTTTCCCCTTTTCTAGAGCTTACCTTTCGAATACCAAAATTATGATTCATGAGATCTGCCAACCTATAGCCTTTCTTAAGTAAAATTGTGCATCCTTTAAAGCAATTTGCAACTTTTGTCATTGATGATATGATAAACTCATCACCATCAAGTCACCTCTTGCAAACCTGTTTTGACAAATTTGATAAACAATGCATATTAAACATAAAATAGACATAGAAAAGTAGGATTCAATGGGTTGCACTGGGATGAACATCTCGGTTAAAAATAACAAGGATATAGAAAACAAGTGGAATGCATCAAACAGCGGTCCCTCCGTCCACACATGATACATCAAATGGCACATAAAAGCTTATGTGCATATTACTATTTCAACAAGAGTGCTGATGTGTTGTACATAGGCTGCCAATGTAATATATTGCATTGGCAGTTTAGATTTAATATATTTCAACATCTCATGCTTTATCAAGAAACTATTATTTTGATGAAGAAACTCCAATCAAGATTTAATATAATGAGAAACCATAGAGTTTGGACGTTCTAATATTTAACTATGATATGCCAATCTAAGCTCAAATAGTGGATAGATGTAAGGGCAATGACAAAGCATGAGAATATTTACACAAGAAACCAAGAGGCATTCCCAATGAATGAGAACTACACTGACTACAGGAATATTTGCATCTTCTGTCAGTTAAGTTTATAAACCAAAAGAGAGAGAGAGAAGAATGACAGTATAGGAAGCCAACCTTGCCAGAATCACTTGGGTTTTCAGTGTAAATGAGATAAGAGAGGAGGAAGGAGACTAACATCCATGGGATTATACAAACCATGCCCCAAGTTACCCATGTTAACATGCCAATTTTCATAAACAAAAAGGGGAAAATAACCAACTCTTCTTTAAATCATCATGTTAGCAATTAATGTTGGCTAAGTGCTAGTCTTGTTTATATTTGTGTTGAGAGTGAATATCAAATCTAGCATTTTTTATTGACTCCAAATAATGATATATTTGGCACAGATGACTTTCTTGAATTCACATTTCCCAGAAAGTTGTTGCACATTCCTAGATCATTTGTTTGTTTCTCAGAAGTTGGATGCAAAAATTTTGCTTATTAGTCATCTGCAACCATAATAAAAAATGGTTAGAAGATAAGATGGAAATTATTTCTCCATGGAAATCATGGATGAGAAGGGAAAAAATCAAGATTCAATTTTTTTTGAAGGTAAAGTATTGAATTGCATTAATGGAAAAAGCCAATTACATCAGCCCATGTATAATGAAAGCCTGTACAATGGGAATGTTTGCTGGAGAACAGCAGCAGAAGAGGAAGAAGAAGAGAAGAGAAGAGGTTTGAGAATGGGCGGCAATTGTGTCTCAGCCAGCCCTAGAAGCTTATATATATATAATGAGAGATTACACAAAAGGACTAGAATGCCCCTGATTAGTGATGGGACACCTAGACATAATAAAGAAAAATAAACAGGTTTAGGCCCAATAACTAAAGACCCATAATAGACTAAGGAACTTAAACATAAAAGTTAAACTAAGCCCACCAACACTTAACCACTTGAACCAACACTCCCCCTCAAGCTAAGCATAGATGTCAGTCATGTTTTTTTTTTTTTGAATGTCGGTCATGTTTAGCTTGCCAAGTAAGCCTAAGAACTTCATTGAAGATAGTCCTTTTGTCAGAACATTTGCAACCTGCATCTTAGAAGGAGTAGAAGGAATGCAAAGTTCACCCGAGACAATCCTCTCTCTAACAAAGTGTCGGTCAATCTCAATATGCTTTTCCTATCATGTTGCACTAGGTTATTTGCAATGTTGATGGCAGCCTTGTTGTCACAATACAACTTGAGAGGACACTCAACCTTTATCCCGAGCTCACCAAAAAGGGTCCTAAGCCATATCAATTCAGCAACACCATGAGCCATAGCCCGATATTCAGCTTTTCAACTTGATCTAGCAACCACATTTTGCTTTTTACTTCGCCAAGTAACCAAATTCCCTCCAACAAATGTGCAATATCTAGAAGTAGACTTCCTATCTCCAATAAAACCATCCCAATCTGCATCAGTATACGCCTCAATTTCAATTTTTTTGTGCTTTCTGAACAAAATTCCTTTTCCCGGGCATGTTTTCAAATACCTGAGGATCCCTTCCACTGCTTTCATATGAGGAATCTTTGGAGAGTGCATGAACTGGCTGACAACATGCACTACATAAGCAATATCAGGTCGAGTAAGAGATAGATATATCAATTTTCCTACCAGCTTTTGGTATCTTTCTTTGTCATGGTAGTCCTCTCTAACCGATTCCTGTAGATAATGATTCTACTCTATTGGAGTATCTGCTGGTCTACTCCCCATCATACCTGTCTCCTCTAGAAGATCAAGGACATACTTCCTTTGACATATATAAATGCCCTCTTGTGACCTTGCAACCTCAATTCCGAGGAAGTATCTCAAATGACCTAAATCTTTGATCTCATATTAAGATGCCAAGAACTCCTTCAATCCTTTTATCTCTTCTGGATCATTTCCTGTAATCACCATATCATCCACATAGACAATAAGTGTTGTAAGTCTGCTATCCTGTTTCCTTATGAACAAGGTATGATCTGCACCACTCTGAGTGTATCCCACTTTCTTCATGACCCCACATATCCTTTTAAACCAAGTTCGAGGGGATTGCTTAAGACCATATAATGCTTTCCTTAATCTACATACTTTCCCATCAAAAACATAACCAGGTGGAGGATTCATGAATACCTCCTCATGTAGATCACCATTCAGGAAAGCGTTCTTCACATCCAACTGATGTAGCTCCCATGAGAAATTTGTAGCTAATGACAATAGAAACCGGATTGTGTTAAGCTTTGCAACTGGAGCAAAAGTCTCCTTGTAGTCAATCCCTTCCTTCTGCGTGAACCCCTTCGCCACTAGCCTAGCCTTATATCTTTCAATGGACCCATCCTCCTTATGCTTTACAGTGAACACCCACTTACATCCCATAGTGCTCTTCCCTTTTAGTGAATCCACTAATTCCAAATTCTGGCCTTCATTAAGGCTTTCATTTCTTCATTCATAGCCTCTCTCCATCTTGGGTCAGACACTATCTCTGAGTACCTAGTAGGAACATGAACAGAAGAAAGAACATACACAAAGAAGTAATAACGAGGAGATAAACATGAATAAGAAACGTATTCAGCAATGGGGTGTCGGGTAGTACAAGAACGGGTAGGCATACGAAAAGCAATGGAAAGATCCAAATCAGAAGTATGAGTGATAGGATTACCTGGAACCATTGAGACAGATTGATCCAAGTCCAATTGGTTTTTGTCATAAGTTGGAGGATCTTTTTTCCTTCTTCTGTAGGGAATTCTCATATCTTTTTGCTTGCCTATTAGTGTTATCATCACATCCTCAACATCAAGAGCGGTAACAAGTTCAGTGGGAGTCCCACTGGATTCACCTGGGTAGTCAGGTGCAGTAACAGGTTCAATGGGAGTCTCACTAGATTCACCTGGGCTGCTAAAACTAGGAGGATTAGGAGGAGAAGATGGAAGGCCCGAGGCTGAAAGAGGCACAAAAAAGGAGGGAGAAGAATCCTCTTCCATCCCACTAGTCTCCCCCTGAAGAGGATTCTTGGAAGACTAAAAATAGGACTGAGACTCAAAAAACACCACATCCTTGGTGACATATTTTTTCTTGGTAACTGGATCATAGCACTAATAACCTTTTTGTGTGGGAGAGTACCCTAGAAAGACCCCTTTAGTATCCCTAGGATCCAACTTAGTTTTCTTAGGATCCTTGACATGAATGAAACACACAGCCAAAGACTCTAGAAGGAAGAGAAAAATCAGGAAGGTTATGACAAAGGACAGAGAAAGGAGTTCCCATACCCAACACCCTAGGTGGCATCCGATTTATCAGATACGATGTTGTATTGCTTGGGACCAATAGTGCTTGGGAACCTTGTGCTGAAATAGTAAGGCCCGAGCTGTCTCCAATAAATGTCTGTTTTTGCGCTCAGCAACCCCATTCTATTGAGGGGTACTAGCACAAGATGATTGATGTAGCATGCCTACATCCTCCATGAACAAATTCAAGGAGCTTTCAAAATATTCAGCAGCATTATCTGAATTGAATTGCTTAATTTTTTTGCCAAACTAAGTTTCAATCATTTTACAAAATTCCATGATTATCCGTGGCACTTCATCATGCCCTATTAACAAGTAGATCCATGTGCGTCGTGAATAGTGATCGATAAAACTGATAAAGTAACGAAAACCATCTATAGAAATAAGAGGTGAAGGGCCCCAAACATCAAAATGAACCAAATCAAAAGGAGCTTGAATTTCATTACTAGAAATTGGATAAAGAGTTCTACATTGTTTTGACAACTGACATACTTTGCAAACCAAACTCCGACTTGAAACACACTTGAACAACTCAGGAAACAATCCTTGCATTGAAGAAAAAGGTAAATGACCTAGTCTAGCATGCCATAAATGTAACCTAGCTACTGATTCCTCATTATCCTGGCCACTGACAGCAGATGATTGTGAGGCTGAACTAATGTCTGCATCAAAATAATAGAGACCTCCAAACTCATGATCGCTCCTAATTGTTCTCTTTGTCAATCTGTCCTAGAAGACACAATGAGTAGAAAAGAATGTTATGCTACAGTTTAAATTCTTGGTAAGCTTAGAAACAGATAAGAGGTTGGAAGCAAGATTGGGAACATGTAGAACAGATTTAAGAGAGAGATCCTTGCTTAGGTCAACCTCCCCTTTCCCAGAAATGGTGGAGAGGGAACCATTAGCAACTCTCGTCTTATCTTGGCTAGACATCAAATGATAAGAAGAAAATAAAGAAGACATGTGTGTCATGTGGTCAGTAGCACCTGAATCAATAATCCAAGAATTAGACCCTATAGGACAAGTTACACTGTAAGCAGAGACAATACCTGATCTAGCAAGAGAGGTGGAAGCAAGGGAATTGTTCCTTAGACGAGCCATGGCCCGGCTAAGGATTTCTACCTCATTAGCAATGAAATCAAAGACCCGGATGTGTAGGAATTAGTAGTCTGTCCCATAGGAGGAGGTGCAACTGTAGATGTGTTCTTTGGGCTCTCACCATTGTTGCTTATAACAACGTTTCCACTTGTTGCTTGACTCCTCTGAGGCTTCTTGCCTTTCCTTAATGCAACTGGTTTCAGATGAGGATAAAGAATCTAGCAAGTCTCTTTCAAATGTCTGTCACCTCCACAATGAAAGCACTTAAGATGCCACTTGTTTGAATGCTTGCCCCCTTTTTGGGTTAAAGAAATCAAGGCTGAATGCTCAACAGGCTGTACTTGGGTGTCAACTTGCATCTCTTTCCTTCTAACCTCTTCATTCATTTCAAGATAGTAAACATGATGTAAATCTGGAATTTCATCCCTTCCCAAAATTTGGGATCTTATGCTCTCGTACATCGGGTCTAGGCCAGCCAAGAACTTAAAAGCTTTGCCTTCTTCAATTTGCTTATCATGCCTCTCCTTATCCCTTGCATTTTCACAATCCAAAATCAGGTGATGGTCAAGTTCTTCCCATAGTCCTTCTAGAGTTGCAAAATAAGTTGCAACAGACATATCTCCTTGTCTCAATGCAACAATATCTTAGGGTTAGCTTATAAATTCTTGCATTGTTCTTTCTCTGTCTATAAGTTTTAGATACCTTCTCCCAAATCTTAGAGGCAGTAGGGAAGTGCTGAACAGTCCTAGCCACTCTTGGAGTCATTGAGGCAAGCAGCCAGGACATAACAGTAGCATTTTCCTTCATTTGTCCACCTAAATAACCCATAAGTTCCTGGGAAGTATTGAAAAGCTTGGCTGCAACATACCATTCTCTGAAGTTGTATTCAACTAACAACACACTGGTGATCTACAAGCTATGCAGATTTGGGTTTTTCAGGTTTGAAGACTTCCCACCAGTCCTATTGTCCTTAGAAGACACTTCACCTGATATTGAAGACATATTCTTCCTCTTACAGTAACCATAACTGAAATCTCAACACAAGGAACTAGATTTCAGACTTACCGGAGTTGTTACAAGGCTGAAAACACCCTCTGTAACTGTACTGAAGCACTTCTGGGCTGAAAACAACACCACTTCTGGAGGTCGACCCTGGACTGTGACCACCCCTACGATCTATTCAATCTCCCAGACACCAACTAGGACTGTCTATTCAGTCCTTCTACCTAGATCTGGTCTACACAAATCTCTCTAGCAACCGAATGGCCACTAACTGCTGCAGAACCACTAGTATGGCATAAGCTTATGGGAAAAACTCCCCTTGGGCCCTACAGCCAAGAGAAACCCTAAATACAGACCTTGCTGTTGTGTACGGTCAGTCCTAGGGTTTCTTCACAGTAGCAGAGATAAGAGAGAAAAAAAAAAGAACAGAGAAGAGGAAAAGAAGAAGGAAGCTAGCTGTAACCAGTTAGGCTGAATGGAGCTCTGATACCATGTTTGCTGGAGAACAGCAGCAGAAGAGGAAGAAGAAGAGAAGAGAAGAGAAGATGTTTGAGAATGGGCGGCAATTGTGTCTCAGCCGTCCCTAGAAGCTAATATATATATTTACAATAAGAGATTACATAAAAGGACTAGAATGCCCCTTATTAGTGATGGGACACCTAGACATAATAAAGAAAAATAAAATAGGTTTAGGCCCAATAACTAAAGGCCCATAATAGACTAAGGAACTTAAACATAAAAGTTAAACTAAGCCCACCTACATTTAACCACTTGAACCAACAGGGAATATACAAAAATAACTGACTAATCACTCAGAAAAAGGCCCAGCTTGCAAGAAAGAAATAATCTGGACACCCTGAAAAGCTCTTTGTACACCCAACCATGAGCATGAAAAACCTGTAAGGTTGTTCTTAAGGAGTCTAAATCTGAACATTGTCAAAAATGCAACTATTTCTTTCTTTCCAAAGAGACCAAGAGACAGCATCCAGAAAGGTCCTCCATGGCATTTTGCCCCTCTTGTTCAAATCCTTGGCTGTCCACCCCTGCACAAGCTGAAGAACTGATTCAGGCAGGCAAAAATGAACACCAAAACAGGACCAAGCCATTGTTCACAATTGAAGAGCGAAGCTACAGTGGCTGAAAAGGTGATTGGAAGATTCAGGAACCTCATTGCATAAAGGACATAAGATACTAGAAATATTTATCCTCCTAATCAGCCAGTCTCAAATATGCCCATCATATAATAGAACAAGTAAAAATAGATCTGTTTGTCCAACACAAACTGATAACAGAAATAGGGGGGGCCATGACAACAAGAACAAATAGATCTCAATTTTAGAAAATTAGTCTAGAAAACAAGTACCCATAAATGAGACAAAAAGGTATCAAAAACAAATAACTATAGCAGAAAAAGAAGAGGGAAAAAAATGATGAGAACACAGACAAGTAGCCAGGTTGAGTTGTCTTAAGTGCTATGAGAGAAGAGACAAGAGAAAAGAGAGAAGATGGAAGAGAGAAATAAAATTAGGGTTCAACCACACCAAATTTATCCCTCTCGAATGAGAGAGGTGCTTTAATATTAACATTAAAAATATCAAAATTACAAAATAGACCCTAATGAGGCAGATTTACATTAAGAACCCTGATTATAACTTTTCTACCCAAAATACTCCCTTCAGCATACATGATACAACTTGAACACACCAACAGGCTCTATCATGAAGCTTAGTCAACTATCCATGCTGATGACCCAAACTAAAGGCACTCTATAATTAAAAAAAAAAAACATAGATTGAATGTCTATAAAACAAAGTATTATTTGTTTGAACAATTCGAGTTAAAGCGATCTTCCAGGTAGAACCTAAAAGATGATAGGTATTTGCATGCATCCAATACACATAGCTATGTTGCTTAAAGGAAATAATTCATGGTGATCAAAACTAAGATTGTAAAAAAGAAGCATGGGGGATTTCAAGATCCCAAGAAACTCCAAATTTGTATCGAACCAATGAATATTTCCGTTTGTCCAAGGAAGCTAGAGTCATGGTAAACATTATCATACCTAGCTGCTATTTCTGAATATACATCTGCAGGCTTCGCTCCAGAAACCAAGTTCACAACAGTTGCTTCCAACTGAGAAAACACCCAGCATAAATAGCTAATTATCAAAAAAGGGTTTGAACATAAATAATGAAGCATAAGACAATTTGGGTTACTCATTAACTTAGAACAGAATAATCATATGCCAAAATTCATCAGTTAAAAGAAAGAACACAAGTCAAAGCTTCCTATTGAAATCCAACAAAAGATCAATTAGGAAATTATGTGGTATGTACATCATAGCATGAATCACCTTAAAACAAAATCAGGTTGGAAATATCAAAGGATACTTGGATGAAAGGTTCAAATGGTTAATGGGACAGAGTACCTAAATGAATTGTCTTGAATACATGTGATGTTAGGAAAATGAGACCATAATATCACCATATTTCCAATCATACAAATCAAAGCCAGAAGTAAAAGACAATTTGGGTAATTTTTAAATTAGAACAGAATAATCATATAACAGAATTCAACAGTTGAAGAAAGAACACAAGTCAAAGTTTCCTACTGAAATCTAACAAAAGATCAATTAGGAAATTGTGGCATGTACATCACAACATGAATAATCTTAAAATAAAATCAGGTTGGAAATATCAAAGGCTACTTCGATGAAAGGTTTAAATGGTTAAAGGGATTGAGTACCTAAATGAATTGTCTTGAATATATGGAATATTAGGAAATGAGACCATATCACCATATTTCCAATCAAACAAACCAAAGCCATAAGTAAAAGAATGGAAGAATGGGTAACTAAAAAGCATAAATGGTATCTTCCAAGAGCTGCATAATGCTGCCAACCATTGCATGAACCATCCTAAGAAAGAAATGCTCACTTCAGTTTCCATATAATTGTCAATCCACAAAAAGTGGAAAATATACAAAAAAAAACATGCAACAACAAAAAGAAGCAAAGGATAAGATGTTAAGACACATATGACTGAAACAGGGAGACAAGTGTACAAGAAAAGGACACGTCAGCCTTTAAGCAATGCAACTGAAAGCCAACCACTCGAACAGAATACATAACAGAACTGTACAAGTGGATAGGCTGGTGTAACTGAATTGTGCAACTGATTGTATCACAGGTATAAATAAGGAAAGAAAGATCAGAAGGGAACACGATTGATTATGGGAATTCTCTCTCTCTCTCTCTCTCTCTCTCTCTCTCTCTTGCTTCAGGAGGTAGGCTCCCTCAAAGAGCCCTTCGTTAGGCAGTTACCTAATTGGTACCAGAGCTAAGATGCCGAGCACGAGGTCATCCTCGATGGAAAACAGGGTCGACAACATGGATGGAGAGATGCAGTGATTGTCGGCAGACATTAAAGAAAAGGAGAGCTTTGTGTCCTTGCTCGGACGACTGGAGCAGGTACCGCCAGTTTCGAATTGAGAAGGGCAAGAAGAACGCAGCGATACCAGTCACTGGAGCGGATCAGGAACCAATAGAACAGCAAGAATCAAGTTTCCCATCTTTGCAGGGGGTGATCCAACATTTTGGCTTCTTCGAACAGAAAGGTATTTCGATTACCATGACACGCCTGGACCTGATTGTGTTCCCCTGGCTTCTGCACACCTAGAAGGAGAAGCGATCGTCTGGTACCAGTGGTACCGGCGACAACACCCAAGAGCCACATGGGCAGACTTCACACATGCCTTAACAATGAGATTTGGCACATCGGCCTTTGAAAATTATGATGAAAGCCTTGCCAAATTATGACAGACCGGCTCCGTCCAAGATTACCAGATGACATTCAAAAGATTGGCTGTGCGCGTGCAAGGGTGGCCAGAAAATGCATTGGTCGGAAGTTTTGTCGGCGGACTAAAGGAAGAACTGCGACTAGAGGTTAAAGCCATGCAACCCACCACCGTTCTTGATGCAGCAGCCTTAGCTCGACTCCATGAGGATAAAATGAATCGAGCAAGAAGGATTAGTCGACCTCTAGGAGCTGCAGTTAGACCAAGTATACCGAATCCGGAACCTGGTATCTTGGGCAAACCGAATTCCAGACCAGGAGTGGGAATCACAGGCAAGGAAGCCAACTCCGGTTCAGGCCCACTCACTCCAGCCAAGAGGTTAACCTAGGCCGAGATGCAAGCCCGTCAGAAAAGGGCCTTTGTTATGCTTGTGGAGACAAGTTTGGACCGGGCCATCTTTGCAAGATCCAGCAGGTATTCTTCCTTCAGCCCGAAATTGAGAACACAAAGGAACCAGCCGACATCGGTGAGCCAGTGGATAACCAAGAATGGGAGCAGTGGACAAAAGAATATCCAGAAGTATCCTTGAAAGCTTTAACCGGTCTTGCATCCTCTCAAACTATGAGAGTAATGGGACTGATACAAGGGCGCCATGTGTCGGTTCTCATAGACAGTGGCAGCACCCTCAATTTCGTTACTCAAACATTGGTCAGACAACTAGGAATTCCGGTCCAACCATCCACAACATTCTGGGTGCACGTAGCTAATGGGAGCAACCTGGTATGTGACAGTACATGCACAGGGTTAAAACTGAAAATACAAGGACACGAGTTCAAGGTAGACCTACATCCCCTAGAAATTAGTGGAGCGGATGTAGTTCTCGGAGTCCAATGATTAAGGCAACTAGGGCCGGTGATATGTGACTGGGCCCGCCTCACAATGGACTTTTAGGTGGGAAAACCACAGGTGCATATTCAAGGGCAGATGTCCAAGGATCCAGGGCCCATTAGCCTCGCCACTCTAAGAAAACAAGCAGCAGATCCAGCCCACATCATTCTAATGCAGGTAGACTCCCACTGGAACGGCCCAATTCTAGCCAAAGGAAGTAATTCCAGCAGATCTGAGGAATTCCACATACAACTACAGCAGTTACTTCAGCAGTTTTTGGTGGTCTTCGAAGAGCCTAAAGAACTTCCACCGGAACGTGTCCATGATCATTGCATCCCCTTTCTGCCTGGAGCTGCACCCACGAATGTAAGGCCCTATCGTTACCCCTATTTTCAGAAACTAGAGATTAAGAGACAAGTGCAAGATATGCTTGATAGAAAAATTATACAACCCAGCCATAGCCCATTCTCCTCACCGGTATTACTCGTCAAAAGGAAGGATGGGGCATGGCGGTTTTGTATAGACTATAGGACCCTGAACAACATTACTATGAACGATCGATTTCCCATACTGGTGATTGATGAACTACTAGATGAACTCGTCCAGGCCACAATATTCTCAAAACTAGACCTGAGATCAGGATATCATCAAATTCGGGTCCATGATGGCGACATCCACAAGACCGCCTTCCATACACACGATGGGTATTATGAGTTTTTGGTCACGCCATTTGGATTGACCAATGAACCAACTATGTTCCAAGCACTCATGAATGATGTATTTCGACCCCATTTCCGCAAATTTATACTAGTTTTTTTTTATGATATACTAGTAATAGCGCTACATGGGATGAACACCTAGTGCATTTACAAATTACCTTAGAATTACTAAGGACTCATAAACTCTTTGCAAAGGAGTCAAAGTGCGCATTCGGACTGACTCAAGTACACTACGTTGGACATGTAGTTGAAAACGGAACTATAGCAGTAGACCCAAAAAAAATCACAAGCATGATAAATTGGCCCCAACCTCAAAATGTCAAGGAGTTATGGGCCTTCTTGGGTCTAACAAGGTACTACCGTCGATTCATTAGAGGGTATGGACTGATTGTTGCACCTTTGACAAGTTTACTTAGGAAGAATGGATTTTGCTAGACCATGGAGGCCCAACAGGCCTTTGAGACACTAAAAACAACTGTTTCGTCTCCACTGACACTCGCACTTCCAGATTTCACAAAGGACTTCATCATTGAATGTGATGCGTCAAGCCAGGGAGTGGGTGTGGTTCTCATGCAAGAAGGGAGGCCACTAGCCTTTTTTAGCAAAGCATTGGCATCACAAAGATGGGCGAGGTCAGTATACGATCAAGAACTGATAGCAGTTGTTCTTGCAGTTGAGCGATGGCGACCCTACCTTCTAGGGAGGAGGTTCATCATACGAACTGACCATCAGAGCTTGAAATTTTTGTTGGAACAGTCAGTGTTATCCCCAGAACAGCAGCGGTGGGTAGCCAAATTACTTGGCTATGATTATGTCATTGAATACAAGGCAGGACACACTAACAAAGTGGCAGATGCACTGTCACGCCAACCACAACTATTCCCACTACTACTCACATCCCCAACATGTTCTTTCATGGATCAGTTAAGGGAAGAAACCGAAAGACATCCAAAATTGAGCAAGCTGCGTTCACAGGTCCAGGAGGACCCTACAGCCACCTAGGGTACATAGTGGAGAATAACTTGCTGTTTTATAAACACCGACTGGTGATACCATAGGATTCAGCCCATATTCATTAGCTTCTTGAACTGTTCCACTCATCATCAGCAGGAGGCCACTCAGGAATTCTGCACACTTACAAGAGACTAGCCACCCAATTCCATTGGAAAGGCATGCGGAATTCGGTCCAAAAGTTCATAATCGAATGTGCCATTTGCCAGAAAAATAAGGCGGATACCCAGAGCCCAGCAGGCCTGCTACAACTACTCCCAATTCCTACACAAGTGTGGACTAATATATCCATGGCCTTCATAATAGGGCTGCCCCTTTCCTATGGCAAGTCCATCATTCTCGTAGTTGTTGATAGATTCACCAAATACTGTCACTTTCTCCCCCTCTCCCACCCCTTCACAGCTTCAATGGTGGCTGAGATTTTTACTAAGGAGGTGGCACGGCTGCATGGTACCCCTAACTCCATTGTCTCAGACCGCGGCCCAATTTTCACGAGTCATTTCTGGGCAGAACTTTTCCGGCTATAAGGAGTGAAGCTCTTCAAGTCTACCAGATACCATCCTCAAACAAACGGACAAACTGAGGTGATTAACCGGAGTCTGGAAACCTATTTAAGGTGCTATGCTGGCGATAGGCCACGACAATGGCTCAAGTGGCTTCATTGGGCTGAATGGTGGTACAATACCACTTACCATAGTGCAGCAGGAATGACTCCATTCC